GTGCATCTTCGTAGCTACTCGTGTCATGCAGTGCTTCAATATCCTAAGCCTGCGGAGGGGGTTCTGCCGGTCGCGGTCATCGCGCAATGTCGCCGCGCGCGCAAGGGCCAGGCGGCGGCGCCAGTCGGGATGGCTGAGGGGCCCAGTGGGGAAGTGGCCTCCTGTTACGTGGGCTTGCGGCTTGACAAGACGGGGGAATAATGCGGGTCTATGTTGCGAGAGGGGCGTGCGCGGGAGAGCGGTTGCGGAGTAATGTCGGCCCAGCTGGTCGGAACAATGGTGGTTGGGGTAGAGGCAGTCGGCACGTGAAAGAGCACGTCCGGACTCGCATGTAGGAAGTGGTTGGCGCAGCTCGTGGAAGCCGTGCTGGCATGCCATGTGGTTATCCCAATATCCCGCCTCTCTGTGCTCAGCGGCGCCAGTCCATTGCCCCGATTGCTTGCGCCAGCGGTCCTCCGCATGCGTCACGAAGTTTCAATCTCCCATGAGGAGGGTGAGCGTCGAGTCCGCATCGGCGACCTGGTTCGCGAGGTCCTGGATGAGCTGTCGTCGAGCCTCTGCTTCGCCGTGACCAGCGTGAAAGTACGCCACGACGATGTCCAGCGCCCCGCTGGGTCCCCGCAGTGATAAGGTCGGTCGCCAGGCGGCCTCGAGAAATTTCAACCCAGTCCTCGTCCCGTACCGGGTTGAACGAGCGGAGGAAGTGGTTCGTCAGGACGAGGCCACTGCCCGCAGTCCGTCGAGTGCGATGGTGCGACCAGAAGGCACGAGTATGCGCTGGTAGCGTGGCCGCCGTCACATGGCCGAGTGCGATGCGAATCTCACCCAATCCAATGAAGTCGTGCTGTTGTAGCAGATTCCATGCATGCGGTTGCTTGTCCTGCTGAGCGCTGGGGTCGGTTGCGAAGTGTCGAAGAGGGCCTGGGAGTTCCAATAAGCGCCTCGGTAGCCTACTGCGCATGGGAAGTCGGCTGGTGGGAGTGTCGGAGGGGGAGGCGTAGGAAGATCGGGGGGGGCGTTGTGGGGTCTCGGTCTTTTCGTAGAGTTTGTCTGCGTCGTGTGCGCAGGGGTTGGAGCAGTGGCGGGGCGCGGGTTGGGGGGGGTCGGGGAGGCGGCGGGGCTCGCTGGAGCCCTCGACCCAGCGTTGGCGGCGGCGGGGGCGGCAAGATGATGGGGCGCGTTGGGGGGGGGGGGAAAGTGGCGGGGCGCGCCGGGGCCCCGTGGCATTCTGGGTCAGTGCAGGAGCGGTCGGTCTGTTGGTCAGTGATCGTTGCGCATTGTGTCGGGTCCTCGGAGGTCGGGTCGATCGGCTCGGGGGCGCCGGGTCGGGGGTCGCGCGAGGCCTACTGGAGACGAGGGCGCTTCACAGATCGTTGGAATGTCGTCTGGTCTGGCAGGGCACTGCAGGGTCGCCGCTGGGTCGTCCTGCACTGGCGGCTGGGGGGGGGTGCTGGGCAAGTTGCCCTTGGGAATAACTGGAATGTGGGGCCTGTTGTCGCTTGAGGTCGCGTTGAGTCGAGCATGGGCTCTACCGGGAGTTTCCGGGGGAGGTGGAGGCTCTGCTGGCGGGGCCAGGGGGGGGGGGGTAGGCGGGAGGACGTGGGATCGCAGAGGTGCGGTGCGCGCGGCGGGAGTGGCCATGCAAGTGCGGCGGGAGAAACGCACGAATTCGGATGCACAGCGGCAGCCGCGTCAGGCCCCGAGCGCGCCGCCCTGCCACCTCGAGGGGGGGCGCCGGGGATGGACCGGCAGCGCAGGTTGGGTTGGGGGGTGCTGGAGGGGCGTCGTGGTGCAGATTCTCGACTTCGACCAAGCACGGCATGCCGTCGGTCTCCATGCTGGCATTGTGCACGAAACTGTAGAGCTGATTCAGGTCGTCAATCGTGCCGCACTGGACCGCAATGAGGCGTGTATTCTCGCTGCGCCAACAGCGAGGTCGAAGACGCCCTCCTTCGTGCTGCATCTGCCAGGGCGTGCAGGTGAGCGCCGAGATCTGCACCGTGCGGCGGTCGGGGAGGGAGCCCAGGTGACCCGAGGGGGCATCCGATACGATGATTGCAGTGGATAGAGAGATGCGGCGCGCTTTTGCCGCAGTGACCGGCGCGGGAGCTGCGCGTGCAACTGCCCGGCGTCGTGCGAATGGCAGGGCATGCGGTTTCACCCACGTTCGGCCGCCCAAGATCGATGGGCGGTGCCGCGCCCTCGTGATAGCATCCTGCGGGGTGACCGTGTTCTGGTCGCTGAGCTCCTGGGCCCAATGTTCCACCGACCACGTTGTCGCGGGCAATGCCCGACGTGCCGAGAAGAGCACCACCTCGTCCATCCAGTCGCTCATGGCCACAAGTAGTGACGTCGGCGACCCCATGTCAACCGCCATGGCCGTGCGATCTGCGCACAGCGCACGTCGCCCGATAAGTGCCTTGCTTAATGGGTCCTGGTTCTTCAAGTGGTCCACATATAGTCGCATGTCCAAGTCCGTGACGTAGCGCTCATCAAAGGACCCAGCGAAGTAGAGCCGCTGTACCAGGCCCTCGCCGCCAAGACTGCGCCGCGGGCCATCCCAACGAATCAAGCCAGGGAGCGCCAGATTCCTGAGCACGCCATGGACGCTCAACTCCTCCGCGCCGTGAAAGTCCACGATGATTGCCGGGCCGGAGCGTTCCTCCAGCAGTGAGGGTCGCCAACTGATCGTAGCTGGTGGTGAGGTGGTGCTGCATGTCGAAAGAGTGAACATCGCGATGGAGTTGACGCGGTGGAGTGGGCAAGATTGGCCAGGGAATGCACATCTGACAGGCTGGCGGAGAAACTCGACCTGCGACAATATGAGCTCCCATTGGTCCCCCATGAGCTCGTGGCCCCAAATGTCCCGGACCTCTGCTGGAGAAGCGCATCCTGGGTAGACGTCGTGCGGTACGAGTAGGTGCAAGGTCGTAGTGGAGGTCGCCGTGGTTGCAAAGGCCTTGAAGCCGCGTGTGAGTCGTGTCATGGCAGCGGCGTCCAGCGGAGCCCACATATAGAGCTCCTCGCCGCATACCTGCTGCAATGCGGTGCGAATGGTCGCATCGCTTTTCGTCGGCGCCTCGCACCGTTGTCGACCAGCGAAGGGTGGGAGCGCCAGGGTGGAACATGTAAAATCTATCTCTTGGAGGTTGGACATGCGAAGGAGGAGGGTGGTGGAACGTGCCGCAGCGGTCGCCCGGTCGCGTAGATATTGGAGTAGAGGGGTGCCGATTTCGAGCCAGCGCGGGCTCTGGGCGGTCGTCCATTTACGTTTCTCCCGGAGTATGTGGGAAAGATCGGCAATTCATTGCTTTCCTGCGGCGTCCAATCGGTCCAAGAAATGTCTGGCCTCTGTCGATTCCTGGAGGTGGCGTCCGGGGTGCTGGCAAACCGATGTGAGGGTAGGGGCGAGGTCCACTCGTCGTAAAAGCATTTCTGTCGTGGGGGTGGGCCTTCGTATTTCGGAATGCCAACCAGTGCCCATGGGTCTGTCGCAGCGGGGTCGTAGGCGAGGCAGTGGAGAACTGGGGTCAAAGATGGCCATGTGCGGAGGGCGTCCACTGTGATCGGGGGGCGGTTGTCGGGGTGCTCGCGTGCGTTTGTGACAGCGTAGTCCTCGTGGGCCAAGATCTCTTGATCGATCAGCTCGGCGAGTACTTCGTCCATCGCCCCATCCCTGGTCGAAGCTTCTGGTTGCGTATTGGTGGCGTCAGTGGGTCGGTGAAGCGGCGGGCGCCGTGGGGGAGGGCCTGGTAGTCCAGGAGGGGTTGCATGTGGAGCAGACGCTGCGGCGTCTCGTGGTGGCACAGCGCCTGCACCATGTCCAGGTGGTGGCGTCACTGGAGTCTGCAGTTGTCGGTCCATGTTACAGGATGGGCATCTGCCCCCTCCCGGAGCCGTGGCACCGAAGAGCGGGCACGCGCTGCGTTGGCAGGAATGTAGCGCCGTAAGTAAGCTGGCCGGGCCTCCCCCTATCAGGCGCAGTACCATGTGCAGGGTGGTGTGTTTCTGGATGTTGTATACGCTGCCTTGAAAGCCCGTTACCGAGCGTCGCGGCTGCCTCTTATGGACAGCGACTGCGAACCGCATGCAAGCACCGGGGCCCACCGCAGCCTGACTGTGGCCCTGAACATCCGGGGGCAGGTGCTGATCGACACTTTGGCCCTGAAGTGTCGGGGGGGTCGACCTGGACCCAGATGCAACTAATTAGGCTGACAGTCCGGATGGTTAGCCCGAACGGCAGCTGCCGTGGAATGCCGAATGCTCGTTGCGCCAGGGCACAAAGTGGAGCGAGGCAAGCGAGCCACGGCCAGGAGGTATTTGTAGACAGGTGCTCCCGCGACGCTTATGGCCGCCCGCCTCCCGGACGGTCTGGATGTTGTATACGCTGCCTTACGCTGCCTTGGAAGCCCGTTACCGAGCGTCGGCGGCTGCCTCTTATGGACAGCGACTGCGAACCGCATGCAAGCACCGGGGCCCACCGCAGCCTGACTGTGGCCCTGAACAACCGGGGGCAGGTGCTGATCGACACTTTGGCCCTGAAATGTCGGGGGGTCGACCTGGACCCTGATGCAACTAATTAGGCTGACAGTCCGGATGGTTAGCCCGAACGGCAGCTGTCGTGGAATGCCGAATGCTCGTGGCGCCAGGGCACAAAGTGGAGCGAGGCAAGCGAGCCACGGCCAGGAGGTATTTGTAGACAGGTGCTCCCGCGACGCTTATGGCCGCCCGCCTCCCCGACGGTCTGGATGTTGTAGTCCGAGAGCGTTTGGCTGTCGTCCAATTGCTTCCCCGCGAAGATCAGGCGTTGCTGAGCCGGAGGGATGCCTTGCTTGTCCTGGGCCGTCTCCTTCACTCTGCGGATCGTATCAGCGGTCACAACCTCGATTGTGATCGTCTTCCCCGTGAGCGTCTTCACGAAGAGCTGCATGCTTCCGCGGCTGGGGGTTGTGGCCGAAGTTCTCCGCAATAGTCCCGGGCTCGGCCCAGGCAATTGCCGCCGGCAGAGGCCAGAGGTGGGAGCGTCCGTGTTGGAGTTGGCGCGGAACAGCTCGGCGCGCCTGGGCAGCGCCTGGGGCGGCACCGCGGGCGCCAGAAACGTATCCGTAGCCACGGTATAAGGATCGCAATCGTGCAATTGAGGGCCCTGCTGCTGTCGGCTGTCGTCGTGCTGCTCCTCGAGCTGTTGCTCGCCGTCGTGCGGCTTGGGGCACTGCTGCTGCTGGTTCCCACAGGCCTGCCCCTGGTCGTCGTGGATGTTGTGGTGGATGGTGTGGTCGCTTATATCCTTCTGGTCGACGTGGACGTCGTGGTGCATGCTGTGGTGGACGTCCAGGTCCTCGTGGGAGTCGTGATGGACGTCGATGTTGTCGTCCGCGTCCTCTTGACCGTCGTGGGTGTCGTGGTGGATGTCCTGGACGTTCTCTTGGACCGTGTTGCGGTTTTCGATGGTGGTCTCAGCCTGGTCGTGCTCTTGGACCGCGCGGTTGTTTCCGTCGGCATTTGCGCTGCCGCCAGGGTGCGCAGGGAGCGCCACTTGCGCCAGCGAGTCATGCAACCGGCGCAAGTGTTGGGAGCTGGCGAGCAGCAAGGTGAGCCACTCCCCAAGGCAGCAGACACTGCCCTCCTGGGTCAGGGTGATTGGTTGACGGCCTCCTTGGAGCATATGCCTCATCCACTCCACTCTGTCCTCCCTGCTTCGTCCCATGTGGTTTTGGGCCGTTCTCTCCGCAGAGATGAGGGAGCGTAGGAAGGGGTACACGCGGCTCCAGTGCGCCTGAAGAGTGGGGTGGTGAGCGCGCGTGCAGGGGGTGTCCGCAGGTGCAAAGGCATTTCCCCCACCGTGCGTGCACCAGGAGCTCATCAGCGGGTCGTCAAGGCCGTATCCCACTGCACCGAAGAAATTAGGTCGAGATGCCGTGAAGACGGCGCGGAGCAGCCTCCTCCCACCAAGCCAAGCGACACGGCTCAGTAGTAGATCCCCATTCCCAGTGGCCTCGCAGATTCTACTGCGGCGGGCGTCGTCCTGAGCAGCGCCGTGGTGGTCAGCCTGGTGCTGTGTGCTAGGTAGGGTGTGTGTGCGTGTGTGTGTGTGCTGCCGCTGGTGCTGCCGTCGCTGCCGTCGGGGGTGCTGACGTGGGTGCTGACGTCACTGCTGATGTCCATGCCGGTGTCGTGGCTGGCGTCAATGCTGGCGTCGGTGCTGCCGTCCCTGCTGTCGTGGGTGCTGGCGTGGTCGTGGTCGTGGAGGTCGTCGTAGTCGTGGGGGTGGAGGGAGTGCACGTGGTCGGATTGGCCGTAGTATGAGGCATTTTCGCGATAGCGTTGGTGAGCACTGCTGAGCTGTTGATCGCGATGATGCTGCTGATTGTTTCCGTGGTCATCGTGGTGGCGCTGCTGGGCGCCAATGCGCGTGTCGCGTTGAGTCTGATGGGTGCTGGCGTCGGTGCTGATGCGCAGGTGGTCCGCGGGCAGTGCCACGGAGACCGCCTTCAGCGAAGAGAAGTCCGAGGCCAGCATCAAGAAGTCCGTGATCAGCGACCCAAAGTCCGTCCCCAGCGTCGTGGCGATGCCCCTGTTGTGGTCCTCCTCCCGCCGGGACTCGTCATGGTGGAGCAGAGCGTGGACGCAGTCGATGGCGAAGCCGTGGGGGCCGAGGTGGGGTCGGAGGGGGTCTTGTGCAGGCGCCTGGCGAAAAGGTGCACGAAACTCCTGTCCTTCTTCTTGCGCCTTATCCTCATCCTTGTGTTCCTGATCGTTCCCGAAAGAATGAGCCCCCTCCCCATACTCCCGAAGATTGGGTTGGTGGGTATGTGTGAGAAGGGGGCTGCAAGTGGGTACATGAACTCGAGTTGGGATGGGGATTCGGGTCGGGTTCAGAGTCGTGTGGTGCGAGGTTGCGTGGTTCTGGGAGGGGGAACCGCACTTCTCCAGCGATCCTGCCATGCTGAACTGAAGAACGACGTCCTGGTGGGAAGTGGTGTCGCGGTCGCTGCTGAGCTCCTTGCCGACGAAGTTGAACTGGAAGAGCTCCTCGCGACCGCTGGAGCGTTCGCTGTCCACGGCGATGGTGTTGCCGACCGGCCGCTCGTACGTCTTCTCCTGGTCCGACCTCTCCGTGAGAGCCTGCCTCACCGTATCGACGTTGAGGGCATTGGAGCAGAGCTTCACCTTGCTGTGGAGCGCCATCTCCGGGTCCACAGCGTACCCGATGGAATAGACGCGCTCAGCGTAGGGGTAGCCGCCCTCATCGAGATTCTTCAGCAAGTACTCTGCGAAGCCGCGTGGTCAGGTCGAGGCGCAGGGTAGCGCGCGGTATAACGGAACCCACGTAGAGAAGCCCCGTGTGCGACACGCCGTTGCGTGAGTCCGCAACGATGTCGGTGGTTTGGCCGGAAGCTTGCATCGAGGGTGCGATCTGGATGTCCCCAGACTTCGCCGGCACGAGAAAGGTCGCGAGCATGTTCTGGGCCAAACATCCGCGGTTCGCCGTAGGATTCAGGGGTACCTCGGTGGGGAGTTCTGGCGGGGCCTCCGGGTCCACGCGGAGCTTGCTGTAAAATATGTGATGCTCGATCTTCTTCCTGGAGTGCCAATTCGTCATGATGTCGTGCTTCATAGGGTACTTCAACGCCGTTTCGATCATCTGCATCTTGCCGTCAAGCCTGGCCAGCATAGCGGCTTTGTTGGCGAGGTTGACGGACTGCTGGGCTTTCCGCTCGAGCGTACGGAACTCGGTAAGCATGTGGTCCCTGCGGGTCATCTGCGCGTCCAGCTGCATGTTTAGCGTCGCCATGCTGCTAGTCATGTCGGCGATGACCTGAATCATTGTCACCAGCTCGCTGGTTCCCTGCTCAATCGTCGTCACCACACCCTGGAGACACCTGGTCCCCCGCGTGTTCTGGAGGATCTCCTGCTGCCGGGCCTCGTTCCGGGCGTCCGCCATGGCGAGGAGAAGTTATGAAATGCAAAGGAGGATGCAAGTGGAAGAGTCACCGAGAGGCCGAGGCATAAGCGGTGGAGAAGTCTCGAGCGGAACACTCCTTGAGCCAGGACCTTGAGCCAACCTGGCTTGAGCCAAGTCCGTCCGCGCGAAGCTCGGCTGGGAGCTGGTGGACCCCTCTGGGAGCCTAGTCCAAGCCCAAACGGCGGGCGTTCCCGGGGGGAGGGGGTGCGACAGCCTGGGCCTCGAGTAGCGCTCTACCCTGGGAGCGGCGGGGCGAACGCGAGGACGGGGTAGTGGATGTCCGTGGGCCAGCCGCCAGCGCCCGCCGCCTGGCCTTGCCTGCAACTCTCGTGCCTAGCACTGGCGTCCTGCCCGGCCGGCAGCGGCGCCTGGCCAGCAGCGGCCCCTGGGCAGCGCCCTCTGCTCGCCGTCGTCCGGGCCGTCTGGCGGCCGCCGCGCTGCTGGCGTCGCCAGCGCCGAGCTGGCGCGCTGTGGTGGCCTGCAGGCCGCACGCAGCACAGGCCCTTGTCAGCCCGCGCCAGTTCCCGCGGCTGCTGGTCCTCGACCAGCAGGTGCACCTGCCCGAGCAGCCAGAAGCAGGCTTCGGCGCCGAGACGGCCCCCCGCCTCGAGAACGACGGGCGCCAGTCTGGCGCCAGGGCAGCGGCAGTGTTTGTCTCGCTCCCCGCAGTGGCTGGCCTCCCCGTCCCGCCGCGCAGCCACCCGCAGCTCGGCCCGGGTGCCAGACGCGGGGTGGCGCACGGAGACGTCGAGCCAGCGCCGGCCGTCGTCGCCATGGCACTCCAAATCCATACTTTCGCGTTCGAGGCGGTCGCCTGGATGGTGGCGGTCCCGTGTCGGCACCCTCTGCTCGAAGAGGGGCCTCTCGCCTCGCCAGCGCTGGACGAGGCCGCAAACTCTCAGGTTGAGGCCCCCGTGGCGCGTCACCACGGCCCCCACCAGCTGGCAGGTGAGAGCATGGCAGCCTTGATCGTCAAGCGCCCCCGCGCAGCCAGCTCCGTCGGCGCCGCGCGAGCAGCAAGCCGCCCCCGCCGTCCTCAAGCTCCTGCCGGCTGAGCTCCGCGCGCGGGAGCTGCAGCCGTCGCCGACCCCCGGTCTGCCAAAGGGCGTCCTTCAGCGTGCAAGGCCCGTTTCCAGGGTAAGATAGAAAATCCACGCTGCCGTTCCCAGCTGCGCCCCACAGCTCGGCCTGTCGGGAAAGATGCAAGCGTCTCGACATAGCTGCGCGCTGTCCCGAAGAGGAGGAGGAAGAGGAGGAGGAGAAGAAGGAAGAGAAGGAGTGGGTGAGAGTGGATGGCTGGGAACGTTTGCCGAAATATTGATGTGCATACTTCATGTGTCCATGTTCGACTGCTTGCTCAGACCGCGTAGACCGATTGTCTTTCATGATGCCCCATGAAGACGTACAAATAAACATCAACCAAGTTCCGACCAGCAAGCGAAGTAGTCACCATGAAACAACGACCACCACATGTACGTCCACATGGACGGAGCCCGCCGGAGAGCCCCAGCTGAACCTGGATTAATCAATACCGCGAGCCTCCCGCCCTTGAAATTTACAAATCCCGAGCGCTCTGGTCACGGAACGACGACTATGTGCCAGACGAGCCCTCCGCAGACGCACTACCCTTCGCTCCCAGTTCCCCCACTGCCGTCGGAAGAGGGCGCAGGGAGGATGGGAGGCCAGGCAGGAGGGACGTGTGGCGACGCGCTGCGACAGCGACCGCTGGTGCAACGCGGGCGCACGTCTTTTGCCGACCGCTGGTGCAACGCGGGCGCACGCCTTTGGCAAAAGCGGCGAGGCGACGCCTGCGCGAACCTACTCCGCTGCGGGGGTGGGGGGCCGCGGAGGGAAGATGCTGGCCCCCTCTGAGCTGCCGCGAGACGCCACTGCTCATACGGACGGCAGGAGAACCACTCTCATGATAAGCAACCTCGCGAGCGAAGCCCTTCAGCAAGCGCGCCTAATGGAAGAGTCGAACACGGCAGGGCTCTCCGGTGCACGCCCATGACTGTTCAGCAAACAGCAGTGAAGTAGGAGAAAACCCAAGACAGCAAAAAGGGAAAGAAGGGAGGAAGGCAGAGGAGGAAAGGTAGGAATATGAGGAAGAGCAGCGAGGAGGAGGAGAGGAGGAGGAGAAGGAGGAGGGGGGGGAGGAAGAGGAGCGAACGTCGCTCCAGAGGAAGAGTCGCCTACCTACCCGTGCGTGCACGTGCAATATCAAGGCAACGAAGTAAGTGCTGTGGCCCAGAACCAGGATGCGCAGATATGATAGCGTGCAACTGGTGCGCCAGGCTAAGGGGGGAGGAAGAGGAGGAGGAGGAGGAGGAGGAAAAGGAGGAGCAGAAGGGGGGAAAAGGAGCACAAACACAAGCTCGCCCACATACCCCTCCCGCCGAAAGAGGCCAGGACCTCCGGGGAAACGGGCAGGTCTGCCCCGCGCGGGGGACGCACCCTCGCGAACGACCTGCTGTACCAGCTTTCGCCGCGCGCACAGACAGATCCCTGCCCCTACCGCCGCGCCTGAGCTCGGGCGGGATCGACGAAGGCGCCGATGGCAACGACCACGGCGACGACGCTGACCGCGACGACGACCACAGCGAACACGACGACGACGACCACGACGACGACGACGACGACGACGACGACGACGGCGACGACGACGGCGGCGGCGGCGGCGGCGGCAACGACGACGGCGGCGGCGGCGGCTGCTACCACGACCACGACCACGACCACGACGATGACGACGACTACGACGACGAGGACGACGACGACGACGACGACTTCCACGACGACGAGGACGACGACGACGACGAAACGAAGACGAAGACGAAGACGAAGACGACGACTACGACGACGAGGACGACGACGACGACTTCCACGACGACGACGACGACGACGGCGAAGACGGCGACGACGACGACGGCGAGGATGGCGACGACGACGACGACGACGCCGAGGCCAGCACCCGGGTCCGCGGCCTGCAGCTCGGCGAAGAGGCCCGCCACCTCGCCGGCCAGCGCGGGCGCGCCTCGGCGGCGGCGGGCGGGCGGCCAGGGGCGCCAGCCTTCGGCGGCCCTCAGCGGCCTTCGCCACCTCGTCGGCCAGCGCAGCAAGGCGAGCCTTCGGCAGCCTTCGGCGGCCCTCGACGGCCTTCGGCGGCAGCGACGACGACGAGGGAAAGCACGAGGAAAGAGGGTGGCGGCGAGGAGGAAGAAGAGGAACAGGGCGACGAGAAGGACGAACGACGAGGATCGGGACGGAGAGGACGATGACGAGAAGGAGTCCTCGTCGATGTGGTCCTCCTCCTCCTCCTCCTCCTCCTCCTCCTTCTCCTCCTCCTCCTGATACTCATTTCGCCTTCTCTCCTGTTCCGCTTGTGGTGTACGCGTCGTGGGTGTCCCACAAGGGTGTCGGACAGGCGTAATGCCAAAGGGCTCTTCAACGCATGTGAGCCCCAAACCAAAAATGCTGAATGGACGTTCAAAGGAAAACAAAGACAGTGCCAAATTAGCGCTATCCCGAGAGTCCACAGGGAGTAGAGTCCAGTCTGCCCAAGAGGTAGGTTGCTCGACATCGTCATAGCAGAAGTCCCCTCGGAATCCACCTTGCTCGCCGTCGTCCCTTCCTCGTCACCTTCTTAGTCACCCTCCTTGTCATTGTCATCCTCCTTGTCCTCCTTGGTATCATCCGCACCGCCTCCTCTTCCTCCTCCTCCTCCTCCTCCTCGTCCTCGTCCTCGTCCGCCCCACAATCAACACCATCATCCGCCTCTTGCTCCTCATACTCCTCTGCCTCGTCCCGCTGCTTCTGGTCCTCCTCATCACCCTCCTCCTCCTCCTCAGCGCCACCGTCACTGTCAACATCACCGACACCACCACCCGCTCGCCCGCCGCACACGCAGCGCGCTGTCGACTGGAACGCGGCTTTGGCTGCGAGCGAGGCAGCTCGCCGCACCCCCCCCCTCCCAGAACTCCGGCATCGTGATTTGTTCGTGGCGTCGACCCCCAGAAGTTTGGGCCCGTTCCCCTGGATGGGCGATTCATCCCGGGTTGTTCTGCTGACGGTCCTGGGTCTCGATGGGTGCCCCCGGAGGCCGAAAACGGCCAGAAGCCTTCCGTCGTGATTTCCTCGCAGCGAAACGAGGTGGGGGTTGTCCTGCCTCGACGCTGGCGCGAACGGCGGCCCGCCCCAGAGAGCCTCTCTTCGAGCGCGGCCTGGCGCCTCCTGGCGTCGACGTGCCGACAGATACGGTCGACAACATCGAAGGCGTACACATCACCGTGTCGAGTGGCAGCCTCTGGGTTGGATAGCACGATGTGGTCTGCCGTGATAGACTCAGCACCGCTTAGGAAAGAATGCCTCGCAGGTGACGTGTTAAGCAGCGGGGTCTGTGGTCGTTGTGGGTTTGCGTTGTATCTTGCGCTTTGTGATCTGAATCAGCATGCGAGAACATATTTCGCAATCCGGATGCTTGGGAAGTGTGTCAAGTAGTGTCGGGGGTCAATCGTGATCGTGCGACGGGCACGTGCGGGCAAAGCAGCGGTGGCATGGTTGCGGATAGGTTCCATCCTGTCGGGCTCCAAGGACGTGATGAGTTTGGCGCACAGGAACACGATGAGCCTGACCTTCGGGTGCAGTGAGGATAAATTCATCCTTGCTTGCCCACAGTATGCCAAAGCCTTCCTCGATGAGGCAGCTAAGTGAAAAGACCGAAGCGCAATCACCCTATGCTAAGGCTTTGCTGTTAAGCTTGAACCAAGGCATCTGGAACCTGATATGCTCGTTCACGGAGCTTTCCCCATTGGCTGCGTCCATCATGTTCGTCGCCCTTGTCCGCGATGTGATGCGCCGAGCCACTGTCGAGAACCCATGAAAGAGCGTTGCCGCAAACATCCTCGAGCCCCTGCCCGACAAATTATGACGAAGATCCGCCAGGGACTCTGCTCTGAACAATCTTGTGACCAACGAAAGTTCCAAGGCCGGGTTGGCGTGCAGGGAAACAAAATGAAAGACGAAACCAGCTTGGCGGCCATCGCCGATTGCGCCTCCAGTGCGTCCCACATCGGGGCATCCAAGCCCTGCGATGGTATCAGTCTGCTCCCTGGCAATAACGATGAACAGAGCGACGCGCCAGGAGCTCATAGCCAAGCACTGCTGTATGGAGATGGCAGAATCGACTCTGTGGACACATGGATCTCAGTGCCACCCGTCCGACATACATTCTTCCGATTACGTCTGGCCCTTTACGGACGCCCTCTTGCTGGCGTAATTCTGGAATGGCACTGTCGTGTTTGCTTGGGGTCTGTCGGCTTCATCCCCATGCAGGGTAGGGGAGTGCGGACCCGCCCAGAATCGGGTTTGACGCTTTCCGCAGACCTAGACGATTTCAAATGGCTGGGCACACAAAAAGCCTGGCCCAATGATGGAAAGTCATACGCAAAAGTGGGGTCAAGATTGACCCCCCAGCTAATTTCTATAGCTATCTTGGACACGGCCAGTCCCCTCACGTAGTCGCCAAAGCTGAGCTCGAGGAGCGGGCGAAAACTATTCGGCCGCCACTACCCAAACATTCCGAATCTGAATGAAAGAAGATGCAGGAGATTCGCGGCTTTCGGCTTGACAAGCGTGGTTTCGCAGGCCAGCGCATACAACGCTACTTGGAGGCCGCCGCATCACTCTCTACTCACCCTAAACTGAAGTACGCGGCCTGCCACGTGCCGAGACGCCAGGCATCGAGATTACAATCTTCTGCGACTCTGATTTTGCAAACCGTGGCGTTCTGGGCTCCGAGGCGGCCAGCGCACTTATGGAAATCTTGTGCCTCGCCCGGAATTGCTGGTTTGATTTCTTGCATCCAGTTTGCGCGCTCGCCGGTGACATCACCAAATGGAATGCCTTCTGCGACAGACTTCTCCACCGACTGGCGCGCTACATCAAACATGCGCGCGATCATTGCCTGCGTGATTTCGTTGGAGACACGGCAGGCAAACTTTCATTATGACTTCACGCGGACACATCCTACGCCGACTGCGTCGCCCCATTCAAACCATGCACAGGCATCTACGCCGCTCTCGTGGCCCCGACGCCTTCTTTCCACTCAACTCTGCGCGCAAGAAACAGACAGTGGTATCGCATTCCTCTACGAAATTCCCAGATCGTTGCTCTGGACACGGCACTGCGAGCGGCGGGATTACCACTGCTGACGTTCTGGGAACGCGCGGCCAAGGCCACGCAGGAGTGTTCGCAAACCTCTTGCCGTACCTTGTTTTGCACTTTGTGGTGATTGTTTTCAAAGGATACCCCATGTCACTAAGGCTTTGCCAGCTCGCAACAAAAAAACGACATGCAAGGGTTCCGCTGGGACCCCTCTTCCCTCGGCCGGTTCCCCCTCTCCACTCCCCCCGTCGCGCCATGTCTGCGAGTAATGATGTGATGGTGTACGTAGTATTGGTAAGTAGTGACGCGGCCGTAATAGTAGCTGGCTCGGCTAGTCCGTTCTACCAGAACACGTAGTTTCACGTGTCAGCTGTTTGCGACGTCTCTCTCTCTCTCTCTCTCTCTCTGGGAACCATTGCTAAATCACGCAGTTGTTTGCTTATGCTGCTGTTTTCGCTGAGGGCGCGCAGCTTACTGAGCTGCTCTTGATCCTGGCTCATCCGACATGTTACTTTTTCTTCTCTCGCCATTCCCCTGAGAGTCTGTTCAGGGGGGGGGGGGGGGCGCGAAGGCGAAGGCAAGGCAATCGTCCCAGGACGACCGACGCCTGGGTAGAGGAGGCGGCTCGCCCTCGGACTCTCGGCGGCATCTTCTCTACCTGTTTTTGAGCCTCACTGCCTATCGCCCTCTCGATCTGCATCCTCTTCCTCAAACGGCCCCTCGTCTTCTGCGACTGCTGAAGCTGCTCCCCCACCGCGCGCTCCAGCGCCGTCTTCGGGCCCGCTGATTTCACCCCCCACCCCCCCCGTGCGCGCCCACAAGTGGCCGACCGCCATCCCGAAGTGGTCCGGCCTGAACCCGTCGAGCGCCGCTAACGTTTCCTCGTTCGCCACTGTCTTGCCCAGGGTCACTCGGGACTGCAGGCGCTGTTCGATCACGAAGGCCACTCTGGCCCTCGCTCCCGTCTCGTGCTTGCCCGCCGTCGGGCCCTCTTCTCCGGCGCGTGCGCCTCCTGCACCCTGAACGCCGCGATCGCCTCGAAGCACACCGCTTGTCCGAACTTGGGTTCCACTGCCTTGAGCCGCTCCCATATGCAGTTCGCCGCCCATCCCATGTCCTGTTCGGGCCCCTCCCTCTCCATGATCTCCTGCGTTGCTTTGACCAGCGCTGTCAGGAACGCGACGGCCACGTGGATGCGGGGAGGCCCTAAATTGTGCCCTCTTCCTCTCGTTATGATTGCCGTGCCGTGCGCTTCGGCGCTTGCAGGGGCTGCCTGCGCCGCTAGCATCGCGGTGGGCACGAGCCAGAAATATGTCACGATCTGCTTCACCTCCCTTATGTCATGCGCCGTCCTCAGCGCCAGCCTCTGCAGGGAGTTCGTGGCCATGGCGAGGTAGATCGTCTGCTGCTGGCTCCGAGCTCCTCTTCCTCGGCGCCGCAGCGCCCCCCCCCCCCCTCCTGGTGCGCCCACCTGCCGCCGACGCCGCCGCCCGCGATCCGCCCGCGCCCGCCCATTGTTCCATCGTCGCGTCGACAACGTTGTGGCTCTCTTTACCCTTTCCTTCGTGTATCTTTTGGAGGCCCATGTCGTCTTGTACTTCTGCAGTTCTCTTTGCGACCAGCTTGGCGGGGGGCGGGATCTCCTGCGCCGCGCCCTGCTTCTGCTCTAGGTTCTCTGAAGTCCAGTTGGCCTGGGTGGCGGGGGCGAGCGCGCAGCTGACATCCCCTCAAGGCTTGAGCCTTGTGGTCGCAGATGCGGCATTGTAGTTCCCCTGCCGCGGGCGCTCGTGCGTCGTGCACCCAGCAGCTGAAACCCTCGCAGTAGCCAGCGCCACGCCCGTCTGCTGCTCTAGTGGCACAGTCCACTGCCACTCTTCTCGCGGCGAATGCACCTAGATACCGCGGACAATGACTAGTCATAACAAACGACGCAACGCGGGGTCTGACTTTGCGCCACCCCCCCCGCGCGCCAGTAGAGCAGCAGCCGTCGTGAAGGGGGCGGGGGGGAGAAGGAGGGGGGGGAGGTCCCGGCTAGGATGGGGAGCGAGGGCTTCCAGAGGGTGAAGACGGGGAGATGCAGCAGAGCGTCCTGGCCCAAGGATATGAACGACGGGTTCATGCGGCAGCGCTGGCGCACGCGCGTGGCATCGGTGCCGCGGCAACTTAACTTCGGTGGCTGGTGCGCAGTGGAATTGGGGGGCGCCCTCCGCGGCCGCGCCCGCGCCCGGCGCAGCCGCCGCCACCTGCCCAGCGAAAGGCTCGGGGCCGCAGGGGGCGACGACGCCTGATCCCCAGGCCAGGTAGAAGGCGCTCGGGGCCTCGTCGTTGGGCTCGTGAGGTGGCGCGAGGGCGCCGCGGGATCTCGGTCGCTGCTCGGGGGCGGCTAGCGCCTCGCGGGCGTCGACGGGCGCGCCGCTGGGGAAGGAGCGCCAGAGGCCCTGGGGCTCTTGAGGAGAGGAGGTTGGCAGGCCTAGGAGTACGGCATGATATGCGCGAGGGCGGGCGACCCCGTTGCTCGGCGGAAGACGCGGGTCTCGGCGCAAGAGGGAAGTCGCCCTGCAGCGGGGCGGCTGGGCCAAGGCGCGGAAGCGCCGCCGGCCCCGCCCCCGCCGGCCGCTGGGATGCTGAAGGCGCCGCGCGTAACGTAGTTTACACCCGAGGGCGGGAAGATGGTCGCGGGCCCTCGGGCGTCGACCAAGGGGGCGGAGGGCCCTCCTCATCTTCCACCGAATTTAACGCGGCACTGGCACTCGACGGAGGGCGCGGCCAGGGCGCAGGTCTACAGCGCGCGCGGTCCGTCGCCGACGCCACGCGTGAGGAATGACGGCCTGCTGGAGTTGCACCCAGTGCTGGACGCCCAGGGACCGCCGCCGGGGCTTTGGGGTCTGCGCGCGGAGGAGGCGTGGATGCTGCGAGGAGCAACCGAGGACCAATCAGTGGTGGCGCCAGGCGGCGGCCACGGGCGCCCCGGGCGCATTTCGGGGAGCGCTCGGGCCACCGCTCCCGAGGGTGGCCGCAGCAGCACTGGCGGCGGCGCCGATGCAGGCAGACCCAGGAGGGTCAGCGGGGAAGGAGAGACCCCGAGTGGCCGGGATCTGCAGGCGGCCAGAAGACGATAAGCAATATGAAAACGGAATTCAGCCAGTGGCCACACGGAGCCCGCGCCCAGGAGCGGCGAAGAGGCATGCGGGAGCCTGGGGAAGGGGAGCCCGAGCCGCCCGAGGTGCAGCCCTGCCGAAGCGCTCGAGGTGGATGCGCGGCGCGCAGCTACCCCGCCTCCGACGACATCGACGGCGGCCACTGCTGCAACGCGCGCTGCGCTAAGCCCATCGGCAAATATAGGGTCGGCGCCAGCGTGCTGCGCCGCCGGCGCCCTGAGCGCATTAGCAATGGCGTTGAGCCGAAGGCGGCGGCTGGAGGAGACGCAGGGGCGGCGGGCGCACCTCCCAAAAAGAATAAGAAGAAGAAGCGCGGAGGAGGCGGAGGCAGCCGGGAGGTGGGGGCCCGGAACCCGCCCCACGCTCGCCGAGCAGTGCGCGAATAGTCCGGCGTCCACACGGAAAACGAATGGGTGAAGCAGGGCGGGGACTCGGACGCGTCGGGCATTGACTCCGTCTGCCTAGCCCCGGGAGGTGTCGACGCTGCCCCTGGGCGAACTGGAAGACCGGGCAGCGGCGGCAAAAGGCTCGGGCGAGGCCGCGTCTGCACCCCTGGGAGGCTGGACGCGCGCAGATCGCCTGAAGGAGCGCGGCCGTCGATCTGGGAGGGCATCGCCACCTTTGGCACCCAGAGGAGCAAGGGCCGTCCGAGGAGAGGTGGGCCCAGGAGTTGCAGGACGAGGCCACGGAGATGGCGCGGACCTTGAGGCGCAGCAAAGCGGCGAGGGACGAACCGATCATTAGACTTTGCGTTTGGTCAGCTGAAGTCAAAACCGAGCCGGGCGAGGACGAGGGGCTACGACGCAGCCAGCAGGGCCAGGATTTCAGGCGCTCGCGGCTCGCGCGCGGCGGCCCCGGCTGAGGGCGAACGGGCGTCGGGGCCCTTCGATCGGAGGAACTACCTCACGGGCCCCTACCTTGTAAAGAGGGGGTCGGGAGGCCCGGGCCCCGAGAGCCCAAGGAGGGGGCGCAGCCGCAGCAGGCCCCGAGGAGGGGTACCTGAGTAGCCACTGGCGAGCATGGACTACCAGAGGATGGAAGAGAACCGATCGAGAGGAAGAGGGGGCTGCCGGTAGTTCGGGAGCCGCCAGGAGCGCGAGGGACCAACCAGCACGCGGCTGACCTCGGAGTGGCTGCGTACGTGCGGCAGCAAGAGGCTGCGGAACAGGCAGTTCAGGGCGCGGCGGGCGCGCCAGATTCGGAGAAGGTCAAACCAGAGGAGCTGAGGAGGTACATCGGCGCGGTGGGGCCCGAGGGCGCGGCGGCCCCAGTGGCTCTCAGGAAGAAGCAGAGTCAGGAGACGGCCAATGAGCAAGCGGCGCGGGACCTATCCGAGGTGCAGATCGACCCGACGGCGGTAAATTAGTACCTGCGCGCGGTCGGCAGCGAGCAGCGGAGCTTTGCTCTGGCTGAGCACATCCAGTAGAAATCGAAGGATTCAAGGCGGGTGGGCGCGCTTGGGCAAGCGAAGTATTTGGAGGAGCTGAGGGATGCGGATCACCAGGCGGTGCTGGCCTCAGTGGCCAAGATCACCAAAAGCAGCTACAACGTCGCCTGGCAGCAGTGGAACGTGTTCTGTCGCACTTGTGGGAGGAGCCCTACCCTGGATGGCGAGACCAAGGAGGAGGAGTGCGAGAAGGAGGAGCTGCTGCTGTTCGTGGCCCACCTGTGGATCAACCTCCAAAAGACGCACGACACGATCCGCTCCAAGCTGCTGGGAGTGCGGACTCAACATGTGCAGCTGGGCGAGCCAGACCCATTGGTGGGCAAGCCCACGCTGTAGATGGCGCTGAATGGCATCGAGAGACTGCAGGGACCTGGAGCGAGGAAACTGCCGGTCACAGTCCACATGCTCGAGAACATCGGGGCCAGGTTGAACCCCAAGACGGTCCCAGATGGCGCACTGCTCTATTATCTGATCATCACGGCGGCCTTTTTTTCCTGCAGACTGCGGAGTAGTACGCGTACGCCGGCTACTGTATTGACCGCAAGGTTCTGACAGGCTTGGACGTGGCGGCTAGGCTGGAAGGCGGCCCCACGCACAATTTCGCCGTGGCGGACGAGATAGTGTTGCGGCTCAAGGCAGGCAAGATGGACCAGGCAGGGGCAGGCATGGCGCAGAAGCACTACAGGGCGGGAGGTGAGATCTGCCCAGTGTGGGCGGCAGAGCAGTACCATCGACACTTCCCGACAAGAATCGGGGGAGGTAAAGAGGCGCACCTCCTTCTGGCGCGCTGGGCGGACGGCTCCCCGGTGTCGAGGCAAAGGATCCAGGAAGAGTTGCAGCGCGCGGCGGTGGAAGAGGGCCACCCCGCGCCTCAGTTCGGCTCCCACTCCCTGAGGATCGGGGGCGCCACGGCCCTGCACCACCACGCGGGCACCGAGGTGGTGAAGAGGTGGGGCCGGTGGAACGGTCGCGCATTCCATCGGTACTTCTGGGAGTCGAATGAGACGACCAAGGGTGTCGCAGAGGCCATGGCCAAGTCGGCTTCCACCCTGCGCGTGGGCTAAGCCAGAAGCGGGGGGAGCCCCGGGTGGGCCCAACAGGCCAATAGGAGGCTGAAGGCCGGAATAGAAGAGAGAGGCCTGAGGAGGCGGCCAGAGGCGAGGCGTGAGGCGCGCAGGAAGTCAGCGAGCGACTGGGCGCGTGCAACGGCGCCCGTACCAGCAGCGGGCGGTGAGAGGGCGCAGGCCGTTCTGGCCGAGTGCCGAGGTGCAGGCTTGAGGCGAGGTAGAGGGTACCCCGACGTCAGGCTTCGCCAGTGAGGAGCGCTGTGATGGAAAGGTTGGCCTCAAGAGCTGGGCAGGAGAAGGCCTGCACGAGGAGGTTGCCGAGCGCGCGATTGCAAAAAGGATTGCAAAAGGACACAAAGTCAGGCCAGCCGGGAAAAACATTGGGCTTTCTTCCGAGAGCGCTTGCGGGAGAGAGGACACAAAGTCAGGCCAGCCGGGAAAAACATTGGGCTTTCTTCCGAGAGCGCTTGCGGGAGAGAGGATACAACATCAGCTTCGTGAAGAGGCATCTGGCCAGAGTCAGGAACGCCATGCAAAGGGAAACGCGCCACAGAGAGGTAGCACCCGCAAGAAAGTTCCATTTCAAATTGAAGTACCGGAGAGGACTGGATCCGAGAGCCGTCGGAAAAGCTTTGCGTAGACATGCGAGCTTGTTGAATGCAGTTTTCGGCGCTCGATGTCGATGCGTATCGGCCTGGGCAGTCGATAAGAATGTCTTCCGCCAGCGCTACAGATACACTTGGTCCTGAGTTTCTCTTTTTCTTTTTTCCCAGGGGTAGGGCTGAGTCTGAGGGTGGGCCCTGGGTTTTTTTGCAATCCTTCGTTCAAGTGAGGGCGGGGGGGCACGATTTGTTGCCCCTCCCGGCGGCAGAAGCAGCAGTCATCCAATACAGGGGTGTTGTTGAGAGATCGCCGCATGCATGCATGTGTTTTTGTTTGCCGTATCGCATTGCACGCAGTATTGTGTCGATCATGCACTTGCTGTGTTCGCATGCCGCTGCCATTTTCATTCGAGTCCTGACGAGCCCCAGCAGGGGCGAAACGTTGACACGCGTAGTGAAAAGGCACGGGCTTGAGAGCGCCATACGAGTAAAGAGAAGGCCTGCACGAGGAGGTTGCCGAGCGCGCGGCGCCAGAGTCGCCTGACGAGCTGGGTGGGCCGAGGGCCGCCGTGAGCGGCACCGTGCGCCTGCCCAATCAGCGGGCAGGCAGGTGAAGAGCGCGCCCTCCCGCTCATCGTGAGGGCGCTTGTTTTCTGCGGCGCGACCACAGAAGCATCGCTGTCACCGTCGCCGCCACCGATCGTTACGTCGTCACCGCTATGCGATGTTTGTGCACGTCACCAGCTCTCTTCAAACGGATCCCGGCATTGCGGCGGCGGCGGCTTTGAGGCGGCGGCGACGGTGACCGCAGCTGCGGGCACAGTGGCAGCAGCAGTCGGCAGCAG